GGATAAGCTTCAATGATATATGATATTTAATGCATCACTCTGAGCACCTACACATGACAAAGCTCACTGTGAGAGGATCTTAGGTAAAGCACAGGAATAGAGAAATATGAAACAAAATAAAGGTGCATCCAAAAATTAGGGTATATGTCAATATTTTCTGTATTGAGTCTCCTACAATGGTACTACTGAATGGCCCCTTTGATGGCCCCATCATTTGTTATCTATGCAATGAAATGTTATTAATTTTTTGTAACTGACTGACTGGATCAAACCATTTCACTTTTTTTAGGATTGCAGTTGGGTTTCCATAATAATTTATTTCCATAGCATATTAAATTTTTATTCTCATGATACTCTTGGAATAGGGCAATATATAAAATAGTGCTTCAAAATAGCTGAGGAACAAAATAGAGAGTTTATAAATCGACTCATACATTTATGATCAGTTGAACTGCAACTTGGAAAGATGGAAGCAGAGAACACTACTTAACAATGAACAAGGAATGAACTATAAACACTCAAAAATTTGGATAAATCTCAAAAATGGTATGCTGGGTGAAAGAAATGGACACAAAAGTAAACACATTGCACAATCCTATTGATATGAAGTTTGAGAACAAGCTAATCTATGGTGATAGAAATCAGATCAGTGCTTTGCCTGGAGTGGGAAGTAGAGATTGACTAGGAGGGGCCAGGAAACTTTCTGGGGTGATGGGAGTATTCTCTTACTTGGAGTGATGGTTATATGGTGTATCCATTTCCTCAGGATGCTATCACAAAGTATCACAAACAGAATGGCTCAAAGAACAGAAATTTATTGTCTTACATTTCTGAAGGCTGGAAGTCTGAGATCACAGTGTCACAGTGCCATGTTCCTCTGGAGGCACTCCAAAGGTTCTGAGCTAGGCTTCCCTTCTGGCTTGCAGTAGGCTATGGAATAGCTTATGGAAGCATAACTCCCATCTTCAGATGGCATTCTCCCTGGGTGCATACCTGTGTGTCCAAATTTCCCTTTGTGTAAGGATACCAATAATATTGGATTAGAGCCTGCCCAAATGACCTCAGTAAAGTCCCTTTCTCCAAATAAGGTCACATTCTGAGGTACTAGAGGTTAGGACTCTAACATACCCTTTCTGGTAGAACATGATACAATCCGTAGCACATGGCTTATACATTTGTCATGACTCATAGAACTGTACACTTAAAATATGTGCATAGTTCTGTATATAAATTGCTCTTAAATAAAAATGTTGATTTTTAGTTAAGTTGGACATCTATGAAAATTCTGACATGTAAAATGTATATTACAGAATAGAACTTGAGTTCTCTGAGTATAACAGGGTGCTCTAAGGACAAATCCTAACATTGTCCTACATTCTTCCCACCTATATTACACTCAGCAAAAAGATACCATTTGTCCCATTCATCCTTGTGCATGAAATCAATCAACTCTTGTTGAATGCTGATATCTTCTTAGATAAGCCAAGTGGTTTCTTGATAAAGAAGTGATTTTTTTAAAATACAAGGATATGAATACAGTTAATGTTGAGGTAATGAAGAATGGCCAAAATTTAGTACTCCAAATGATTTTAAACCACTTCACTTTGGTCTCATCACCGGAGGGCAATGTTGCACACAGAGAGGTGCACTTTAGTGGGAAGAAATCTCCCCCTACCATGGATTGCTGGGAACTCCATAAATCAGAGACTTGGCAGAATGAAAAGCCATCTTGGAGGCCAAGAAGAATACCCATAGGTTCTTTGCCTAAGACCACATGGCTAATGAGAGTTAAAATAGGGGCTGAAAAAGCACATTCCTGACAACTTAACTCATCCTCTTTCCAGACCCCTGCTGTCCACATTCAGTTGTTAAACTCTGTGTGAAATGCGAAGGAGAGGAAGAAAAGTTTAACAGGATCACCATAGAAAGGAGAAGACAGAATTTCATGTCTAAGACATTCAGTGTCTTTGTATCATACAAATGCAAGAATGGGAGAATACAACATTCCAAATTGGATGCATTGTATTACATTTATTTGGATGTGTCTTTACTGGAGATACATAGTTTTTCCAAAAATTTCTGTCATATAGAGTTGATGTGTGAAATATTGAAAAATATGGATAATTTTTGTCTTAAATGGTTCTCAAACTACAAATTAAGTATATTTGTAAGAGTTCATATCTTCGGTTGGTTAAAATATTACATTTCTCTTTCAGTTATAGAAAATCCTTTACACCTAAGCCATAAAGAATGTCACAATCATTCTAATACTCACATAAAGCAAAGTGAAATGTATTTTACTTGCCTTGTTAAATAATATTTTTAACATGAGAACATAGTTGTTGCAAAATAAGAAATTATCTGAAGATCTAGTAATTTGTAACATGACCTCTATGTATCTCATATATATATACACATTTACTTCTTTTCATTCCTTTATTTATTAATGTATTTATTAAAGATAACTTGTTGAGCACTTATTATGGGCCTGGCTCAGCACCATAGGTTTAAAGCATAAAAATATTAAATGTTTACAATATTCTTTCTGTTTCCTTATCAGAAATAGTCACTTAGACCATAACAGCTGTTAAAACAAAATAACAATTCCAAGCTATCTGTCAAACATTCACGGTTATCAAACTATCCCTGGAGGGGAGACAGAACTTTGGCTCACCTCAATATTAGTAATTAAATTTTTCCTAGGTTCAAAGTGTTTTAGGTGACCCAGACACAGCTGAGAAATAAAACAAAGGCCCTGGCCCCATGAAGTTTGCATTCCATTGGGAGAGATAAAAGTAATCAAATAAATATACAACATAAATGTGAGGCATTAAAGAGTTGAAAAAAGAAGCATGGTAGAAAGACAGCAAATAGAAGGTAGGGAGTTACTATTCATATAAGATGGTCCAGAAAGTTCTCTCTCAGTATATGTCATTTGCACAGAGATCTGAATAAAATAATAAAGAACGTCTATGCATATCTTGGGGGAAAACACTGTAACCAGAGGAAATAGCAAGGGCAAAAATCTAGGTAGAAACATATCTAGTATGTTCAAGGAACAGCCAGACTGGTGTGGCTGGTGTGAATAGGAAAGGTGGGGCGTATAGAAACATAGGGCCTTGTCTCTCTGCTTTGTAGTCAATGTGATGCAAAATATCTTGAAGGGTTCTGAAATAAGAAGGGATATAATCTCGACTGGCATTTCTAAAAGGTCACTTTGTTTTCTGTATGCAAATTAGACTTCAGTTGAATCAGAGTAGAAGACAGGTCATAAGGCTTTTGGTGGCGGTCCAAGTGAAGGCTTTGACGGGGCAATACTGATGAAGAGCTTAGAGGTACTTGGATTTCTGACATATTTCAGAGACAGAGTCAAAGGACTTACAAATGTATTTTGGGTATAAGGATAAGAACCATGACAGCTGGGCCTGAGCACCAGGTAAGTTGTGGTGTTATTTACAGAAATGGGGAAGACTGAAAAGAGGGAGAAATCAGTGCCCAATTTGGGGGCCTGGTAAGTTTGAGATGCTCACTAGGCATCTAAAAGGAAACATCAAATAGTTGAATACTTGAGTCTGGGGTTCAGGGAGAGTTCAAGGCCAGAAAGAAAGTGTTGAAAAACACCACTCCATTGATAATTTTTAAAACCACAGGACTGACGAGAACACCTAAGAAATAAGTGTCAAATAGGAAAGAAGAAAGTCTGACACTGAGTCCTGAGTCTTTCACATCTTATGGACCTGAAAGAGGAGGAAGAACCTCCCTCTCAGAGAAGAAATGGCTATAGGAGAAGTAGGAAAACTAGAGAATGTGGGATCCGAGAAGGCAATAGAAGAAAATACAGTTGGATCATTGAATAACATGGGTTTCAACTGAGCTGGTTCACTTACATGTGGATTTTTCTCAATAAATGCATTGGAAATTTTTTGGAGATTTGTACAGTTTAAAATATTTTTTCTTTAGCTTACTTTAAGTATACAGTATATAATACATATAACATACAGAATATGTGTTAATTAACTGTATGTGTTATTGGTAAGGCTTCTGGTTAACAGCAGGCTATGAGGACTTAAGTTTTGGGGGAGTCAAAAGGTGTACATGGATATTCAGCTGCACTGGGGGTTGGCACCCCTAGCCCCTGCATTGCTGTTCAACTGTATTGACCAAGAAGGAAAAAATGATCAACTAAATCAAAAGTGGTGAGAAAACAAGATGAAGACTAAACAGTGAGCACACGGAAATCAAGTCGGAGGCTAAGAAGGAACAACCTGGAGAGCACTGATGACCTCCATGAACAGTAGAGGGAACAGGATAGGTGTGAGAAAGCATAGAATGAATGAGAATGTAGCTAACAAGTATAAAAACATTTTCTATAACGAACAGAGATATTGGCAGTAGCTGGAAGAGAAGCATGCTTATATATCCTAGATTGTCTCATTACAACTACAGAATAGTTTCTGCCCTATAACCAATTTAATGTTCACAGTTAGGGGTTTCTAAATGTACAGGCTTTTACTTAAAGTATAAATTTTAATTTTAATAGTAGCTATAATAAAACAAATTTAAGCTCAGGATACACTTTCAGTATTATCTAGAAATGTACAGCAGGAAAAAGTGCTGAGAAATAAAGCAACATTTAATTTCATTTAAGCTGCCCAGGATCTTAGAGTCCTTCCCCATCTCCCAGAGGACACCAAAACTCAATAAAATCTGGCTGGATTGAATTTTACATCACTGAATCTAGAGAAATTAAAATTTAAAGGAACACCAAAACAAAATATCTGAGTTTCCCTACAGATACGGGTTCTGCCAAGAAATCTTACTGACTGTGTTCATAAAGTATAGTACAAAGCCAAATAACCACATGGGTAATGTGGATAAGAAACATCCAAAAAAAAAATCATAAAAACTAGAAAAATGAAACCAAATGAACCAACTAAGAAATAGATAGTGAGAAATCTACATTTTTATTTCATTGTTTATGTTTTATTTACCAGAAATAAGGAATGAGTCCTCTCCAAAATGCTGCATCAATTTTCCGTGTAATAATTTGAGTTTCTCTTCTCTGAGTCTGACAAGATTTACAAGATCATCTGCCTTAGTTAAAATAATTTTGGCTGTGCACTCTGAGTGAAACATTCCCTCTCCATACATTCAAGACTCCATCTTCAAAAGGTAAGAGACAACCTATGTCCTCAGAGTAAGACCCTTCCTCCTGCCCTCACTCATTGCTCAGAAGACACGAAGACGGTGTCTCTTGCATCTTTGGTTTTTCTTCTCTATTAGATCATTCACATTTCCCTAAAATATGCTGTTCTATCTCTTGAAGGAAGGAACAAACAAACGAAAAGAAAGAAAGAGAGAGAGGGAGAGGGAGAAAGGAAGGAAGGGAGGGAGGGAGGGAAGGAGGGAGAGAGGGAAGGAGGGAGGAAGGAATCCCTTTGACTCTCCCTCACTCCAGTTACCACCTTATTTTTCTGCTCACCTTTACAGCAAACACTCCTAAGAGAAATCTATACTAATTATTCAAATGCACACATTTCCATTCTCATTCTCATCCAGCCCTCTAATCCACCTCCCTCACAATTCTCTATGAAATCTGGATGTATCAAGAACACTAGTGGCTTCCATGCTACTAATCCATCGGTTAAGTCTCAGTCTTTATGTACTTGATTTATCAGCAGCAGTTCACATTGTTAATCACTCTCTCTTCCTGGAAACTTTTTTTTTTCAGAACCCACATTCTCTTCTTTTAAATTTTATCTCCCTGCTACACCAAAAGCTCCTTCTCTGTTTCCTCTGTTGATTTCTCCCTAGAGTTGGGTACTCCAGGTACCCCCACATCCTTGCACTCCCTCTTCTCTCCATGCTCATAACATGTACAAAATATCTATCTTCCAGTACCTAAAGACTGATAAACACAACTGTCTTTTCACCATGTCCTAACCAACACCTCAAACTAAACATGTCCCAAAAGGATTGCTGAGCTTCTTTCAAAGCCAGCACTCCTTCCATGGCGGTCACCAAATCAGCCAACGGCAGCGCCCTCCTTCCAACTTGGACTCATCCTTGACTACCTCATCCTCTCTTTCCCACTCATATACACATCCTGCTCTGTGGGCCAGCAATTCTGGCTCTCCTTTACAGCTTATTCAGAAACCCACCATTTCTCACCTCACTGCAGCCACCTGTAAAGCACCATCTCTCTTGCCTGAAATTGGCAACAGCATCCTCACTGGTCTCGGCATCCCACTGTTGTCTCACCACAGTCTCATCTTAACTCAGCAGCCAGGGAGATATTTCTAATGTGTGTCAACTCTGTCACCTTTTCACACAGAACTCTGCAAAAGCTCGGTGTCACTCACAGTTAGAGTGAAGGATTTTACAATCCCTGACACCAAATTCTATGCTGCCCCTTCTGACCTCATTCCCTGCCACTCTTTTACTCAATCGCTGCTCTACAATCCTGGCTATTCGTTCACATCAGCCATGATCTCAGCTCAGAGCTTGTCTTCTGTTTGCCCCTTGAAACTCACTCTCCACCCTTCTCAGCCCCTTCTTGTGCCCTGGGAGGAGGACCTCTATGACCCATTACTGTGTCTCTCTGACCCTCTGCTTCCAGGTGCATTCAGCCAGCGGGGAGCCCAGTAACAGATCTGAAGGAGGGACAAGAGTGAGGTTAGGGTGCTTCCTGCAGGGTTGGCACAGGGGCTGTACCCCTCACCTGAGGTCACACAGCTCCTGTTGGGCAGACTTTCAATATACCTGCCTTGTTCTCGAAGTTCCAATAATCACTTACCAGGCACCCAGTCAGGCTTAGTAATCAGAGGGCCTACTGGATGTAGCTCCTGAATACTACACTGTCCCGTGTCATTTCTCTACAACCTGTCCACATCTCTGTAAATAATCACTTTTTTCCAACTCTCCCCAAATATCCAATTTTACTGCATCATCAGTCCCCTGCTCCGGCGGCTGCAGCACCTCTGCACTTGCTGTTTCCTCTGCCTACAGCACTCTTTTCCCAGATGCATACAGCACTCACTGCAGAGCCCCTTTCAAACCTTTGGGACTCAGTGTTCTACTGATCTAAAATTTCACTTCTCTTCCTCTTTTCCCTGTACATCTTTCCTACTTCATTCTCTTCCATGGCACTTAATCATCCTCTAATATACCAATTTAATTCATTTGTTTAATTCATTGCTTATTTCCTTGTACCCTCCCGCTAGATGCTAAACTCCCTCAGGTCAGGAATTTTTGTCTGGTTTTATTCACTGCTATATCAAGAGCACTTAGACCAGTGCCTAACTGCATGTGGCTATTATAGAATAAACATTTTTTGTATGCATGTAAAACATAAAAGAACTAACAAACAAAAACCTCTCCTAAAGCCACACAAGGTTAAGAGAACTGGAAAATCTTGCCAAGTTTTAGTCACTTAATCTGTGATCAGTTTAAGTTTACACAAATCCAGGTGAGTGGTTTAGTAGAGATCTTACTGAGTCCGACCACTGGGACTTAAAATTTCTATTTGAACAGGTGAAGTCTAGAAAGACAGATTTGTCCTTCAAATTCCACTATTAAAGGAAATGGTAAAGTCCATAATCATTTCAGTTGCTTAATTAGACACAGAGCTGGGTCTCAGAAATGTATAGGAAGAACAGCTTTAGTTTGATACATATGATTACTCAGTGTTTTCTATCTCCCGGCAGCATATTGATCGTCTATTTTGTGAGTTTGCAAGAAAAAGTAATTTTTTACTCGAGTAATTTTGCATGGATGAACTCCCAATACCTCAAAGCAGTCATTCCTGTGAAGCTGGGAGAAAATTACTGTTCTGCCATATCAGTTGATATCTGTCAATTTAACATTGACATGCAGAAAAGCCAACATCCCTTTACTTCTCTCAGCCTTTGGGTGTGTTATTCTCTCTGTAATTTCTTGCTCCCTTAGTTCATCTTCCCTTCACTGAAATTAGGAAATTTTTATTCTTTTGGGAATAAAGCCCTCTTGACACCAACTTACCCTGGCAGCAGGTACGCAGCCCATAAATGAAGTTAAAAGAGCGAGCCATCATTCTGATGATTTCTCTTGCATCTTGTTCTTAGAAGCTTCCTTTCATGTGAGGATCTGACAATCTTTTAATAGCATCACTGGATGGCAATACCAGAGTGTGTTCCTGTGTTCACCTCCGCCTGCCTTGAAGGTCTCCACCACTGCCTTAAGCTTGGAGAAGGCCACTGTTTCAACAAACAGAATGATGCTTTCCAAGGTTTGTATATGGCGGTTAATATATTTGTAGTGATACATTTGAAAGCCTTTTCTACTCTGGTAAAGATACAGGATAAGTTAAAGTAGCAACATATAAAGTTGATGCCCATTTCACATATCAGTATCAAATTGACAAATACCAACTGATGTGGAGAATTATCATTGTCTCTCAACTTCACAGGAGGAATCATAACTTCTCTATTTGTTACAAAACATCTCTATTTGTTTACTTAGTAGGGATTTGTACATAATAATCTGAAATGGATATTTAATAATTAACTAATTGCTCAACAGTTAAGACTACTGATTGCCATATATTGTATTATTTTTCTGATTAAAAAGTTGCTTTTATTCATTGCTTGAAATGTGGAATACACAGAAATCTTAAAACTAAAGGAAAATAAAATCACTCCCATTCCCAGGTAGCAGTCATGGAGATGTGTCACTCAGATTTCCATTCAAAGAACTGCCACCCAGCTTCAACAAGTGTGCCTGGCTGACAGCCTCCAACTTGAACTCCTTCAGCACCTGCCGCAGCTTTCAAGCTGGTAGCCAAATTCATGGTAACCAAAGTTACCAGGTGCTTTCAGCTAGCGGGGAGCCCAGTAGCAGATCTGAAGGAGTTTGCAAGAAACTGATACTGTTCTGCCGTATCAGTTGATATCTGTCAATTTGACATTGACATGTAGAAAAACCAAAATCCCTTTACTTCTCTCAGCCTTTGGGTCTGTAATTCTCTCTATAATTTTCTTGCTCCCTTAGTTCATCTTCCCTTCACTGAAGGGAAGCCTAGCCGTTTGCATCAAACACAGCTCCTTCCAACAGACAGTCTTTGCTCCTGAGCTCCTACTGGTCTAGTAGAGCCTGTCTGTGCCACAGTCTGGTAGTTTTCCTGCCTAATCCTCTTTCTTCTCCTTTTCTTTCATGAGTGTAACTCACCAGTAATGATTTCTTTTTAATTGTGTAAAAATACACATAACATACAATTTACTATATTAACTATTTTTAAGTGTACAGTTCAGGGGTGTTAAGTATATTCACATTGTTGAGCAACCAATCTCCAGAATCTCTGCATCCTGCAAAATTGAAACTCTATCCTAAAAACAATTCCCCATTCCTCTTCCCCCAGTCACCATTATACTTCTTTTTTCTATGAACATGACTACTCAAGATACCTCATTTATATGGGATTATGTAGTATTTATCTTTTTTTGTGGCTGGCTTATTTCACTTAGAATAATGTCTGCAAGGCTCATTCATGTTGTAGCATGAGTCATAATTTTCTTCCTTTTTAAGGCTAAATAATATTCCATTGCATTCATATTCTACATGTTTGTCCATGGACACTCCTACTTTGGCTATCCTAAATAATGCTGCTATGGAAATGAGTATGCAAATATCTTCTTGAAATTCCACTTTAAATTCTTTTGTATATATATTCACAAATAGAACAGCTGTACCATATGGCAAAAATATTTTTAGGTTTTTGAGGAAGGCCATGCTGTTTTCCATGGTGGCTGTATCATTTTGCATTCCTACCACCAGAGTACAAGGGTTCTTTTTTCCTCTACATCCTCAACACTTGTATTATTTTTTTGATAGCACATCCCAATGAGTGTGAGGTAGTATCTCATTGTGGTTTTCATTTGCATTTCCCTAATGATTAGTGATGTTGAGCATCTTTTCATACACTTTTGGGCACCTGCATATCTTGGACTGCAGATGGAGAAATGTCTATTCAAGTCCTTTGCCTATTTTTAGTTTGATTATTTCTGTTGTTGAGTGGTAGGAGTTGTTTATATATTTTAGATAGTAACCTCTATCAAATATATGATTTGCAAATATTTTCTCCCATTCTGTAAGTTGCATTTTTGCTCTGTTGATTGTGTCCTTTGATATATAAAAGTTCTTTATTTTGTTATAGTCGAATTTATCTATTTTTACTTTCGTTGCTCATGCATTTGGTTACAAAAGCAATGTTACAAGCCTTTTCCCAGTTTTCTTCTAAGAATTTTATAGTTTTAAGTCTTATATTTATGTCTTTCATGCATTTTGTTTTTATACATGGTATAAAGTAAGGGTCCAACTTCATTCTTTACATGTGGATATCCAGTTTTCTCAATAGTGTTTGTTGAATATACAATAATCCTTCTGGACTCCTGTCATTGTCCACTTGCCAGATAACCCAACCAGCACAACCCTGAACCAGAGGTAGGAATGGCTAAGATTTTGCTATTTATCCTCCCAGTCTTGTCCCTATCTTTCCCTCTTTTCTTCTTTCTTGACACACACACACACACACATACACACACACACACGTACACAAACACATTTATACTGCTTTTTAAAAATAACAGTATGTTGTGCATGTGTTTCTGTTTCATTTGTTATTTTCAGCAGTATCAAGTTTAAAAACTACTGATTCATTGTGTAGATATGCCATTATTTGTTTAATGAACTATTTTTAATGACCATATATGAAAAGATCACTTCATTTTTTTAAAAAAAAATCCAGTTTCCTTTAGAACCCTTATTCCCACCGGTGGGCACTGAGGAAATCTGAGGGAGCATTTTTGTTTCAAGACATATCAAGGGGGTATTGGAACTAGCCGCCGCCCCCTCGGGCAATACTCTTATGAACGTGATGACAGGTTTGATTAATACTCTACAGTAAATTTGATCGAAGCCAAGACAACTATTCCTGCATTTATGTCAAAACTTGACTTGTACAAACAAAATTTGAGTCAAAGACAATTAAATCAGTTTCCAAATCTTTCTTCAGTGGAAACAAATGATGACGACATTCTGGTTTATAGCCAGCATTTGGAAGCACTTAAAGAAGATTTTACAAATAGATTTCAGGATTTACCCAACATGATCATTCCAGATGGGGTCCTAGAACCTTCCTCAAGACTATGGATAGCAGAAGTATCACTGCAGGAGGAGCTGACAGAATTGTCAACAACTGAAGAGTTATAATTGAAATTTAAAAATGAATATCAAGAATTTTGGCTGCAAAGGCAAATTCTAATATTATATCCAAGCTTACGGACTGTAGCAAAGAAGTTTTTCATTGCATTTCCATCATATTTAGCCGAAAGAGGATTTAACATGATCGGCAATCTACTAACAAAGAAAAGAAACAAATTGTCAATAGTGAAATGTGGTGATTTAAGATAGATGATGACAAAAATGACATCAAACTTTGAAAAATTAGTGTCATCTCACCAAGCTCAATCACCTCACTAATAAAGATTTCACTTTTTAAAGTAATGTATACTTTCTAAATTTAAAATTTTTTATTATACTTTAAGTAATATATTAATATTGTTAATTTCTTCTAATAAAATAATTTGAAAAAATCTGTCCTTGTTTTATATATAGTATAGTATAATTCACCTAAGGAGGTGTTATCAAATCACTCTTTGAAAAAGTGGGCACTAAGCCAAAAAAGGTTGGGAACCTATGCTTTAGAAGATTGTCCAATGAAAAATCCTATGCGTGGATTGTAGAAAAAGTGTTATTGGTAACAGTCATTGTCCCAATTATTCTTATATTCATTCTTCCTTTGCACATGTTTGTGTAAAGTACACAAAAGTAAATATTCAGGCCTCCACGCTTAACATAAAAATAGAATTTGCTAGACCCTTCATATGATTCTCCACGAGACCTCAGAATGTGTTTCATCCAAATCTCACTGGAGCTGATGGGGTTTTAATTCCTCAAAGCATAAGATGCCCTGGGATGGCAAAACTATTTAGTGCTATTTGACTTCAAGGCTGACGAATGTGAAGAAATCCATTCTCCAACAACCTCTAAGCTCTCTCTCCCCTGGAACTCCTATTCCCAGGAACCTACTGACTTCATTGGCTGCTAAAATTCCAAAAGATTCCTGACAGCAAGGCAGGAGCAATTATAGGCAGAGCAAAGCTATGGAAGACAGAAAACTAAGTTCTCTCTCTAACTCTTACTTTAGTTACAGCACTTATTCATTCTGAGCCTTGCTTTCCCCATCTCTAAATTATCAATAGTAACATCTTCTGCCCAATGTTGTGATGCACTTCAAACAAGTAACATGTGGGGAAGTAATTTATACAGAGAAGGTGTAATACAAATTTCAGTTGTTATGCTTAATAATTAGCAAGTGGTGCAAGTGTTCAGGTAACCAGTGATTTGAGTGCCCTCGAAAACAGGCTTCCTGGGCAATTGGGGTCAGCAAACCCCAATGCTTATGTGTAACAAATGATTTAACTCAGCGCAACTGACCATGCTTTTGCCTAGTTGTGCTAAGGCTCCCAAACACTGCTCATTGAACGGCCTCGACAGCAGCCAGTGTTGTAGATTTTGTTGAGTCCTTGGACACTGAGTGGTGCCCAGATGGTCTATGTCCTCCTTACTGGAACAACCATAGGTTCCAGGTAGGGTTGCCATAATCCCCTGGCAGAACAAGCAAATGCAATTGGTTCAGGGCCATTTGATACTGCCTGAGAGTCAAGTCACTGGCATTCAGATGTGAAGAAAGCACAGACTGCCACACTTACCCTTAGGAAAAGTTAAAGCCTACATACAAGTACCAAAGGGCAGAACCAACCTGTAATCCACATCTTCTAGCCTCCTCATTCTCTGAGGTATATAAAAATCTCCATCTGAGGAAGTTTCCCCATCCATTTTACCTCCACAAGCTCCACTGTCTTCTCCATCCACCCCCACTGCCATCAAATGCTTCTGAAATCAATGAACTCCCATTTATTGAGTCTTTACTTTTGAACACAAAGATGAAGAGCATGTTCACCATGTCCCTCTATATGATTATAACTTCCTGTGCCCCTGCTCTAGTTAAGAAAGGGAGAGGCTGTTTTCTAATTCTTGTATTGAAATACCTAAAGTGTTCCACTCAAAACAATAACATTGTTTTGTCTTTCAGTCAAAGGGACTAGTCTGCTTATAAGGGAAGGATCAAGACTTATGGTTGTTGATAATTGAATAGAGCACTGTCAAATAGGCATCCTAATCTACATCCAAATCTTCCCTGACAGCACTGTGGCAGGCACTGTTAACCCTAACACCCTAAAGAAAAAAGTTTACTGCTGGTGAATTAAAATAACAACTTCTACTCTCCAAGCTCCAGTGCTTCAGTCACTAAAGAGAAAGAGAGGTAAAGAGAAGGGAAGAAAGAAATAACATATTTTATACTTAAAGGCATAACAGTATTAGAGCAGGTTGCAAACTTGAGTAAAACTAAAAGGAGATATATACTTTACTCAAACATTTGAAACAAGTAAAAAATCTACTTCTTAGGTCTCTTAACATAATTGCTATTCAAGAATAATCTTTTCAACATTTCTTTTGAGTTCACCCCCTTCTTAATCACCATAGGTCCTCCCAAAAATCCTTCCCATGACCCTATCCTGCTCTAGTCACCATCCACACCTCCCTCAGCCTACACCGTAGCTGCTCCAGTCCCTCACTTTCCATATACATCATCATCGGCCAGATGGGTCCAACTTCCTTAATACTGAGTAGCTTTCTTTGGGTAGGTTGAACAATGACTCTGATATTATCAAATAAAATGAACATATTTCTGTTTTCACCTTAATTGTCCATGTTGTGATATGTTCCATTGTTGACCATCTCCTCAATCTGGAATCCTCTTCCTCAGCATATGGGATATTCTGTCTTCTAGATTTATTCCTATTCCTCCTTCTATTGCTTTTCAGACTCCTTTTGCAGGTTTTCTTCCTCTTGTAATCTACTAAGTGTTTAGGTTTCCATGGCTCTATCCTAAGCTCCTAAGCCCTCTACTCTGATTAATTTATCAACCATCCCTTGGCTGCTTATCCACGTTTATGTGCTCATAGTTGTCTTCTAGCTCAGAAGCTTCTCCTGGGCTTCCATCCTGTATATCCAACTGTCATGTTCCGTAAGTACCTCAACCTTAACACATCTAACCCTTCCAAGCCTGATCTTTCTATATTTCTGAAAATGGCCCTACCTTCTACCCAGTTACCCCAACTACAAACTTCACAGTCACTCTAAACATGCTCCTTTCACTTCCTCTCCCATGTCTAGTAATCATCACCCTATAAATTCTATCTCCTTCACCTGTCTCAAAATCGTCTTTAGCCTTAGTGTCCACTGCCATAGTTTTAGTTCACACTCTCATCTTTTTACTCCAGGGTCAGTGAAATAGTGCACTGACCTATCTCCCTGCATCAACTATGCCACTTTCCCCTTCAAGCTCTATTCCAGCTACATCTATGCTAACAGTGATTTTGATTTTGAGTTAGAGGTCTGAGAACTCTGATCACAGATTAGCCATACACCTATGGAAAAGTTCTCTAAACTTCCATTTCCTTAACTTTAGAATGAGCCTAGTAATGCCTTATCAGGGGTTTGTTAGAGAAATTAAATAAGATTCTATGTAAGTAGCTCTTAAGCACTGTGTGGCACACAAATGATCCTCAAGAAATAAACTCTCCCTTGATTAATATTACCTCACTACAACAAAAATCTGATGAGTTGTTTTACTTTCCTCATTACAATTCTAAAATTAATGTCCAGCACCCAGAATAAGTTCAGAGCCCTTCTTTTAGTTCCCCCCTATCCTGTACCATCAACTCCACAGGTACAAGGATCTTGTCTGTGTCTTCATCTCTTCATAAGTCTGGTACAGTATAAGTGCTCCATACAAGTAGATGGCGGAAAGAAAGGAAGAAGTGGCACAAATGGGAAGGCAAGTGAATGGATGAGGAAGGAAAAACAAAGCTATTTCTTACTATGCTAAAGTCCTAGACTCTGAAAGCTCATAGACCCTCACTTTCCTGTAGCAAGAGGTGTTACTCTCCCATGTGGAGAGTCTGTGCCTTATCTCCCTGCAAGCAATTCCTCATGCAGGTCTGCTGCTGTGCTCCCTATTGAGTTGAATCCTGCCTCCAACCCTTTTTTATTCACTGTGATCTGCAGATCTTCATCCTAACAAATGAACCTTTATTAATTCTGGAGAGATTTATCCCTTTAACTTTGTATAGTGCCTTACAGTGAGGGACAAAAGGACAACCTGTGAAAGGAGCCAGAGAGAGGAATTTGTGCTTTACTTGTATTGCTCACCAATAACTCAGGAATTCACTGAACAAATAAATTTTGAGTACCTGCTCTTGCCTGACAGTGTACTGTGCATAAGAACTAGTAAAGTTGGTAAGCAAAGGTCCTGGTTTGGCAGTGAGCCCATAGTTAGTGGATTCTTTTAACTAATATTGTTTTGGGTGTCTGCTGTGTACCAGGCACTGCATAAGGTGCTGGGGAAATAGTGAAGAAAACAGACAAGTTCCTGCTCTCATGACAGCGACAAGAGAAAGGAAAGGAAATTCTTAGTAAGGACAGCAGACAGCAAACACCTGGGCTGCTTTAAGGATAAAAGAATGAAGAAAAGTAAAGATGGACACTGGAAGATCAGTTACCCACCTGAGGTTGTCCAATCAAGAGGTGATCAGACATTCCTTCATGTAGCGTGGTAATGGTGGTGAAAAAATTATTGAATTTTGTAGAGCCAACTGGAGACTCTGCCAGATTAGACATGAGGTATTAAAAAAAAAGGGTCCATACTGACACCAAGTATTTGTTCTATGATCTGAGAGAAAAAGTTGCCTTTACTTAGTTGGAAAAATCTGCAAGAGGAAGAGTGGGTCTTTTTCAGTAAAATAAGAAGTAAGATCCTGCCTGATCTAAGCATAAAGAATGGAGAGAAGATTTTGGAGGCTGAGAGGAGAACAAAACTAACTGTCTGGGAAAGTATTTAATCTGCTATGCCCTCTATGATTTGAAGGTGAGAGAAAGATGAAATATAAAATTTTAATTTTCGATGTGGTGTGATTGAGATGCTTAGAAATAATAACAAACATTTATATAATAGTCACTACAAGATGTAAACACTAAAAGATGTATATGTGAATTTCACTCAGGATGTGTAGCACTGTGGAACTGCAACAGTGATACAACACCATAAAGTTGCTCATAACACTATTTTCCTGCATTAGAATTAAGACATGGCACACTCCATACTGTGGAGAAGGGCTTTATTCTTTGTGGATTAGGGTAAGGACCACCAATCCTGTAAGAGTATGAAGCTTCCTTTTGGCAGCAGAAGTTGCAGATCATGAGTAATGGCTTATGTAGTAGAAATAAATGAATATTTACAGGTAATGGAGAAAAGTTAACTTCTTTCTGAAGGGACACTGGTT